ACCCTACACTACCCCCGACAGCTCCGGCCTCTGCACCAGATCCAAGCGTACTTGAAAAGACCAAGGGCCATTTTGATCGAAGAGAGTTGATAAGCGTTGTTAGGGAATCTGAAAAGAAGCCTTTGACTTGGCCGGAACATAATCTTCTACAGGTAAGGAAAGAATGAAAAGACTGTAGCACAGAACGGTATATACACGCAACTCGTGTGAGAAAGCTACAGTCGACACTGCAAGTCAACATCTCATCAAATTTCATTGTTTCGGTTTTTGACGAATAGCTTCAACACATTTAGCATTACAAATCTTCATTTCATAACAAGGAATACCTGGGGAAAAACTCTCCAATTCTACCCCTTCCCTGATTAGATTGCGAACAGACCTCTTTATATTTTAAATAGGATTCCCCGAGAGACTGTTGAAACGTGACTAACTTGTTCGTCTTGTTCTTTCAAAACAAGCTGGTCAAAGGCCCGGAACTTCAGAGGCAAGACTACTACCCTACCCCTCCCACCTCAGTACTTCCTAACACCCCAGAAAGAAGCAGGCAGATGGCAGTGTCCCCTCGGACAGCTAATGCATTGTACAATGTACAGAGAGGGTATTGGCAGACACATTACCAACAACAGTTTACAGGGAATGGACCTCAAAATATTCTAAAACTGGACAACTTTGATTCGATCTGCAGCGGGAAGCCAGATGTACTGGTAAGTGATTTACAAGAAATGTGAAGTTGGTGTTTAAAAATATCATAGCGTCCACATGGAAGAGATAACGAAATAAACACCGACAAAAGGCCTCTGTTGCACTCTGATCTAAGGATTTGTTTAACAATTTGTTTTGAGAAAATTTCCACCTCTGTTTGTAAGAAAGAAGTCAAAGAAGAATGAGATGTCTTTTTGCTGCTAATCAAGCTTTGTTTTCATTGTATTCAAAGGAAAGTAAAGCATTTTTTCCATCATCAAACACTAATTCAGTGCTGTATAATTTTAAGAAATTCTTCATGTCTTTTTGAAAGCTCTTTTGTTTAGCTTCTTGACTTCGTTGCACAAGGAAACTCTGTTTCAGACGTTAAGTGCTGTCGTAGATTTTTGGGCGTAGTAATCTTGCGCAACTGATAAAGCTGGGGAAGAAACCATGAAATATACTCGTTACTATAATTTTTCCTTGCATCTACTATCGCATTTTTTTTTTGGCATTTTTCAAACAGAAAGAGCACTTCAAGAATCAATTGGACTCGCCGAATCCGCTGGAAGGACGGCGAGCTCAAGTGAAAAAGAAAGCAGCAAAAAAGAAAAAGAAAGTGATTGTGGGACATGGTACTGAGCTGTGGATCACGGACAGTGAAGGTGAAGACGAAGAAACAGCGGAGAAGTCTGATCAGGTTGACAAGACCCACGGGAGCTGCTTTGCAAGTAGAGAAATCCTGGATTTAACTACGGGTCCTAGATATAGTGATGGATATTTACAGCATAACCTTGTTAATCCAAATGGAGAATATTCAGATGTACATGCATTCGCTCTGGCTCATCCTCATCTCTACTATTCGTCCATTACCAATCACATGAATTCAAAGCATTTTAGTGAAGCGAGACCTTTTACTGCCCCAGAAGTATCTAAGCGACCAACCTCCCCTATTGTGAACAATATGCCGAGCCAAACGTCCGACCAGGCGAAGACAGGGTCGACCAACAGCGACCTGTACCCGAAGTGGTTTCGATCAGCTAAGCTCGGAGAGACGAGGCCGAGTACCGCGCTCTTGGATTTGCAGACCAGTTGGAGTAAAACCGAAGCTCGTCGAAGATTTCACGAGCAGTTTCCGGAAAACGCACCAGACATCCGTCGAAAGCCGGATTTGAGAATTACGACAAATGAAAGGAGACATACCATACCGGAAACAGGCGTTCATGTGTACTATTTCCATCGCTAATGGAAGTTAATCAGTTACAAATAAATACAACTGAGCTGTTGTGGAACCCCTACTGAAGATAAACATTTCTCGGTTTGACCTCGACTTTTGAAAGATTCCTAAAAAAGTGGAAGTAAGACTGATCATCTGTGTGATTTTCTTGCAACGCACTGTAATCAACCTTTTTGGAGGTTTTCAGTTGCCGTCTGTTTTGGAATGAAAAATGATTGAAAAACTAACAGGTTTTGCTGAAAGTTACAGTCAAACCTCCCGTAAGCGACCACCCCAAATGCGTAGATTTCGTGGTCCATTACGAGACTGGAACCATAGGTGGACTCTTCCGAGAAAAGTTCCCGACACATCTACTTACAACTGGAATTCATGATATATGTGGTTCCATGTTTTCACTGAAAGTTCTTCGCATACTATAAGAGGCGTAGTAGATACAGCGAACAAACAGACCATGAGTCAAGTGGTCGCTTACTAGAGCTTATAAACAATAGAAACTATAAAACCGTCAGCCCCAAAAAGTGGCCGCGCTTACGAGATATTCCAAGTGTAAGGTTTTGACTGGGAAACTTTTGTTTTTTGGCAAAATTGGTCGCTTATAGGAGGTGGTCGTTTATGAGGGGTGTTGGCACATGGAGCTTCGACTGAAATCCCTTTTCTCCCGGTAAGTTATGCATTGATTCTAAGGAAGCGGAATGTACATAATAAATTTAAGATCGAAATCAATGTTTAATATATCTGAAAAAGCACTCCCACTTGTCTTTTACTTCCAAGGAAGGCCTATTAAAAGAACAGTTTTTTTGGAATGTTTGCTTACTGGTTGGTGAATAAACTGGGGCTTTCTTAAGTCTGACGCTACAGTGGTTCAGCGTTAGAATTTGTTTAGTACACTTGATGTGTACCACTAGCCTTCAGGTAGTCTTCTTCTGTAAACGGGGGAAGTCGACATGAAGAACGTCGTGAACTAGCCTTCTACGCAGACGTTCTTAGGGGTTGTCATGTTCTCATGGTGTTTTGATTTTGGCAAATATAACGAGAAATATGATTGGCGTAGCTGCTTAAAATTGCATGCACTTAATAGGTTCTCAAAAATAAAGGGAAAGGAATATGCCATATCCGAATTTCATGAAGTCCCTGTCTCTAGTAGCCTCCCACGCAGACGTTCTTAGGGGTGCGTCAAGCGTTCCTACCCCACGTGGGGCAGGAACGCGTGACGAACCCTTAAGAACGTTTGCGTGGGAGGCTATGTTTCTAGGCGAGGCTAAGCGCGAAGCTATTGACATGAAATCATACAAAAACATCTCATTTTCAGTCAACATAGGTTTTGTACTTAGCCTCGTTTTGAAAGGGAGAGTTTTTGTAACTCGGAAATGGCCTAGCAGCCGTTAGTCACGGGGGAAGAGCTTTGCGTGACGACCCTAGTAGGGTTATTCTCTCTTGCGACTGCGAAGGAGATTAGTATTCATGTGATGAAGAACATCAACCACTCCGCGTCACCCCTATCCTGGGTACCAGAGGTTTTTCTCGCGCGGCGGGAATTTTCGGTGTCGACACATCTTCGGCCGTAGACCGATGCCACGAGCGGCGACTTGACAGAAACCGGAAACCGCGCTAGAAAAGTCTCTGGCACCCAGCGTAAGTTCCTTTTTCTCGCTGATCACTTGGAAACCACCGAGCCTAATCTCGTCCCCCTGGTCACGAGGATGCACCGGGCATAGTTCAGGCATTGGAATCTTGAACGGAATTCTCGGGTTCAAAATGTCAGCCAGCCCATCAATCAGCAAAGCCTGGCTTTAAGCTGGCTGCAAGGATGCAGAATACTTTAGTTACTGGTTAGGGGGTGACGTACCCTTCTTAGGGTCCTTCCTTTGTCCCTTAACTTCCTTCCCAGTCTTCCCAGGGTCTTCTTGCAACTAGAATACAAAGACCCTGGGGACGGGACGAGGTCAGACAGCTTCAAGTACATACATTATCCCAAGAATAATTTTTACGTGTCACCAGTCTTTGCGAAGACTCGAACTTCGATACACAGAATCTTACATAATAGTACTAAAAAACACCTTTTTAGAAGGAATAGATTCTGCTAGCCGTCTGCGCCCAGAACCCGTAAAATCTCGGCCCTTTTTCACAAAAAAGGAAGGTAACCTGGGCCTTACTATTATTATACAAAATTGTAATTCATTTATTACTTTGTACAAAATATCAGTCACATGAGTCCAAACGATATGTTTTTTTTATCACAATATTTCATCTTGTTTTGACAATAGAGGAAGAGACACCTTTTCTTTCTTTCTCTTTTTTAGGCATATTTAATATCTGCGCGAAATTATATTTCGTGATCTGCATCACTTGTAACTTTCTTGTTGTACTGGAAGAATGGGTAATTGACCAAATCAGAGCATGCAGCTTTGTTTTTCTTTTGTTACATCTTGATTTAAATTACCATAATTATTTGTCCCAAAGAACCAGTTATGACCGCTTTGCAATGGTAAGGGTTTTACCAACAGGACGGGAAATGACGCTCAAGACCAGGCGTCATGATTCTAAACTTTCTTACACAAGCAGAAGACTGGAAACAAGAGAAGTTAGCAAATGGTACATATTTTTCCGACTTCCCGTAACGGACGGGCTCTATCTCCGGAATTTTGTCAAACTACTCTGCGTCAGCCTTTTCAGGAAGTAGAAAGGGGTCGTCACATTTGCAACTTGTAGGCGAGACGATCGGTTTGACGGTTTCCCCCCAGTCTACCCCTGCTAAGCAGGGTTTCTCCGGTCATTTCACTCACTACCATTTTTTTCCTGGAGAATGAAATAACGTCTTTTGGATTCAAGTGAAATATTGTCTCTGCGAACGTTTAGTATTCTCGCCGTTTCTGTATACCCCTCTGGGTAGTTGACGTTACATAACATTTTATCTGCATTTTATCAAAAAGGAAGTTTTCCAAACACTTCCGTTTCTACCCCCCGCGTGCATCCTTCTCCACTCCCACGCGCGCCACTAGCCCACTGAGGGCAGCAAGTGAGCGCCAAGTTGACAATGGATGAACTCTCTTCTGTTGGTTTCTGGATAAATCTTGCCTGAATAATGGACGAAAAGTTGGTCAAAGATTTGAGCTTTGAAGCCCATCGGAAGATGGACGTTCTCCTTCTCCCGTCAAATCCGGGTCGAGACTGGAAAACGCTCGCGGACAAGATGGGGTACTCGATGGAGACCATCTTGTATTTTGAATCAAAGAAAGATAAAGGCCCTGTGATGGAATTGATTAAAGATTATGAGGACAGAGGAAAGACGATCTCAGAACTAATATCCTTTTTGAGTGAAATGGAACGATTTGATTTGATTCAAGACCTTCAACCATTTATAGGTGAGCTTACGTTTTCATTTAGTAAAACGGTATCGATCGAACACCATCGCGATGCTCACATGTATTTTGGCTAGTAAGAGCTTATTATCAGTATAATTTGTTTATCAGGTAATATCGTTCCTTTGTCTAACATTTGAGGTGCATTTGCAGGTGTTTTTTTATCGATTTAAATGCAATCTTACAAGTTCCAAGTGCGAGTATGACGAAGGTTTGAACACTCGTTCATTGCTTGCAAGCCAGTCAGTTCCGCTTCGCCTTATCAATATTCTTCTTAATTTTTATGATTATTCCGGTCCGTCTGGCCAAAGTCCAGTCCAATTTACTCCTTGTTTAATTGCAACATCATTTAACCTTTTAAGTCTCATTTAAAGAGTCCACTGATGAACTGTTTTGCAAGCAGAAATTGTATAAAACATTGGCATGGTGTAAAGACGTTGTGAATCCTGTGAAAGCCTTCACTAAAAGTCTTAAGATCGAGTTGCAGTCTGCAGTTTGTTTATCCCCCGCGATCTTGGGGAGTCAAAGAGCAAATGCTCATCTTCCCGTCTGGACGAGTCAGAGATTCTTGAAATCCAGTCCCCAAGTTAACCATCATACTATTAAATCTGAAAGACTCCTGCATGTATTAAATTTGGTAAGACCTCTAACTGTGCTATAGAAAATTAAATTATGAATTAAAAGAAAAAAAAATTCACTGCTAGGGCTTGAACCCCGTACTGCATGGTCGTCAGGTACACAATCAAAGAACTGTGGGGCAGAAGCACATTGCAGACGCATGACAAATGTTTTAATACAACAATGTTTCCTCTTATTTTAAAGCTGTTGCCCCAAATCGCTTCCATTTTCTCTGCAAAATACTTCTGCTGTCAAAATGAATCACCAAAAGCATTTTTTAACTGCTTTTCAAAGCTGCCCACAGACTTATGGACTTACTCACAACACCATGACATAGTGGCTACCGCCTTCCCTAAATGGAGGCAGTAGCCACAAAAAGGGACGTTGTTGGAGTGACATGGCCACGCCTACGAGCACTGAAGGCGCCAGCCTCTAAGATGCTATTTGCTGCATTTTGAGATCACAGTCAATGGAAAATAGTGGAGTTTTTCATGACTTTCTCATTGAATAAACTAAAACATAAGTCAAGTGCAATGAGAGCGTGCCACGAGTGAACGCAAACCCTTCACAAAGTCAAGGCAATCCAGTGCACACCCAAAATTATTGTAGGCTCATGTTCGGATGCCAAAAGGGTAAAAATGGCTGAGAAACCACGGAAAAAAGAGACTGGTTAAACAAGGAAAATATTATCTTTCTTTGGCTAGGAAGAGTTTCAAAAACCACGAGAATACTAAGGGAAAACAGGTGGATGGAAAGGTTGTTTGTTTGAAGAAAGTGAAGTTAGAGTTGGGATTAAAAAATGAAAACGCTGGTCAAATTTATGGATAACGAAGATCTTGTTGTCTCTTGACACACAGCTCTAGTGTCTAGAAGCCGTTTCAAGCCATTTTCAAGTGTTTTTTAGGGGGGTCTTTGTTTTCTACGTTGGGGTAGGGGGAGGGGGTGTAGAAAATGAAGACAAAGACCCTGTTCAAATTTATTGGTAAATGAAGATCTTGTTGTTTCTTACACACCTCAGGTTGAGATAACCGTTTCTTGCTATTTATAAGCGATTTTTTTTTTTGGCGGGGGGCCTCTTTGTTTTTGGGTCTTAGGTTTTTGTTTTCTACCCACCCTCATTCCAACACCTTCTAAGTGTTCTTTTAAGAAAGGCATCTTAACATTAGACGTGAAAATGTTGAAGAAAATAACCTAAGAATGGCATGGACCAACTGTAGACTGTTCTATGTCGGAAGACTGTTTGAAAAACTTCGATGTCAAACTTCAATCTCTCTCTTAAAACCTGTGTAAAGTGGTCTGATATCCGCCTTTTCTAGCTGCTCAGGGGTAGCTTATCACTGACTGCAAGTTCAGAAAAACTTGAACACCTGAAATATTTAGAACAGGAAATTGTTGTTTGTGTAGTTTCCTATCACAATGAAGATCAGTACACACAAGCAAATCACAAAACCAGACACTAATTCCTTCCTCTGCTGCTTGCAGGTCTCTTTTCTTAGTTTATTACCTGATTGCCTTTTTCCTTGCAACACAATCATATAATTTCCACATATATTTTGGTGTTCATGAGGTTTTTCTAATTTTCACAGCATTATCTCTCTGTGTGCATTCACAATCGTCTGAAATCAAACGGTACAACTACTGATGCATTAGGCTGTGTCTTACTTACAACTAATTGTTTTTGTATATCTGTTACAGGTTAAATTTATTTAGCCTAGGTTGATTCTCAATTTCCTTTTGTCTTCTAGCCCTAATTATTCATGAATTAGGAGACAGGAGACAGGAGATGGGAGACTAGGAGGCAAAGGATACAGAGAATCAACCTACTATACGGGCGACAAAATTAGTTCAGACACTTTGCCCTAAAAGGCCTTTCTGACATTTTACTGATTTTAAAAGGAGCAAATAATAAAGCTTTCCTTCCCCTATCCCCTCCATGCAATGTTGTGCCGCTGTTCAAGCCACCTGTAGAGAACATCAAACTCCCTAACTTTGAATGGAGGGGAGGGGTAGGGGTGTGGATTGTTTTGTTCTCTGAAGTTACTCTATTTGAGTACAGTGTCTCAGCAATTTTGTCGCCAATTGTAGGGTAAAAATTTTAGCCTGAATTCAACATATCCAAGACTGTAACTGTCGTTAATTGTGTGCGTAACTATTGAATATAATTTGACAGATGAAATTTGAAAGTAGATATAGGTTTTTATTGATTTCAGAGATAGAGGTGATTGCAAAACTATTTATTGCATTAGGAATCATTTATAGTCAAGTTATTTTTTAAAAGGGTGATTTAGAAGTGAATTGTTTTAATGTACTCCACAAGTTTGGTACATCCACGTGAAGTGCTTTATAATAATAATAATAATAATTTACATTTATATAGTGCAAACCTCTATATGAATATATTCGGTTGCGCTTTACAATATTGTTATATTAAATTTATGTTAAAGGTGACTAAAGCATAAGAAACTATTAAAAACTACAATAAAAAGTATTAAAAACTATAAATAAAAATAATAATAATAAAAACCCTATTATAAAAGCCATTTACAATTAAATCTATTTAAAAGCTAAATTGAAAAAATGAGTTTTAACAGCAGTCTTAAAAGTGTGCAATGTCTTCATGTTGTTAATTACCGAAGGTAATGCATTCCGGAGATAAGGTGCAGCTGACTGGAATGCACGATCGCCAAGAGTTGGATGGGTCTTAATGCCTGGTAACTCGAGGAATATCCCAGTTCATTTGACCTTAGAGAGTACCTGGATTGCTTTTTGATAGTAATGAAATCAATGAGATAATTAGGAGCTTGACCATATAAGCACTTAAAATAATTTTAAGCTGCTTTTCATGTTGTATGTTATGTCACTGCCCCCAGATGATAGATATACCATGATACACACCTGTCAGTAAACTGGTCTTCAAATTATATCAACTTAGAGACAAACATGCCATTATATTCTCTGACATTGTTTCTGTCACTAAAAAGTAACCAGAGTTCAAACTTTGAATAGCTTGGGAAACCATCAAATGAAAGCTTTTTATTCCATGACTAAATAGTTTGTCTAAGAATTTTTTTAGCCACTGATACTTAATATGTTTCTTATTAATATTCCTGCATTGTGATACAACTACAGAAAAGACTCCTACTCCAGTTGAGAGGCAGGAAAGAGAAAAACGGGAATTTGAGCAGCGTCAAACTCAAGTTGGTAAGTCATATATTTACACTGGCACAAATATAGTTAATGTCTGTTTATATGAATTTTCCAGCAAGCAACAACCAGTTGCAAAAATGTTGAGACGGCCTTTCTTGCTGCAAATCGCTGCTAGTCACAGATCTCTGAGGTATAACACTCACCACCTCCCTCCCCTCCATTCAAAGTTGTTCCTTCATGTTTTGAGCATGGGCTTGAATTGCAAGCAACTTTGACAAAGGGATGAGGAGGGATCACAAGCACAAGATCATGGACAGGCCATTTAAGCCCAAATAAGGCACAGTGTTTCAAGTCTTCTTGCAACGGGTTGAAGCTTTGGGGTCTTGGAGAAAATGGAAGTAGAACTTGCTTCCATATTGAGGACTATGAGTTGCGTTACCTTCGGGTGTTGACACATTGGTTGAAGTTTCTCTTAATTGAACTTTGAAAAATCAGACATTTGATATGGCTAGATTTTCAATGCCTCTTTGGTAATGTAAAACCACAGGTAGTTTGAGTGACTTTTTCAAATGCATTTAGAGATTGTGAGGTTTCTTTGTTAGTGTTAACCAATTCCCACATACAATCACCCAAAAAATGACCTACCACAAATTCATTATGATTGATGAAAAGCTGTCCAAACTGTAATAAATTTTCGAAAGAGGATACATTAAACGTACAATCTATCAGTTATTAAACAGAAATTATTATTACTAGATCTCAGTTTCCTTTTTTCCAATCTATTCCATACAGTTATCATCCTCATAGCCCTAAGTCTTGACCTTCAATCCATTGCTTTCCCATTTCTTTTTCAAGGTCTTCACATTTTGTCTACTGCCACCTGTTTCTGGATGCCTGACTAATGTGACTTCAATTTAGTAATTCCTGTTATTACAGTCTCCAATGCTATTGGAGGGTGGGGGGGGGATGGCTTGTACTCCCTATAATGGCCTATATGAGGAGGCCGGGCCTGAAAGGGGTAACATTTTCAGGCTTCAGGTATATGAAAGAGTAGGGAATTTAGTAGGTGAACTCTATGAAAGGGTAGGGAATTCTGTCATTTTGGTCTGCAAAAAGGAAGAAACAGGCTAACAGATGAATTTTATGGCTTTAAAAAGTCCAGAAAACTATCTGGTTTTGTTATTGATTTATATTTAAAAGACAGTGCGTCTACTGCAGTTGAAGGGTGCAAAATTCCAAACTAGGTATGTGAAAGGGGTACCTTTTTTGGTATATAAAAGGATGAGGGGTTTGGCCTTGGGGGGAAGCCTCCCCATACAAAATGATGTTTAGTTCACCCCCTCCCCCCCCCCCCCCCCCCCCCCCCCCCCAATTTAACTTTTTGTGTTGTTTTCCAAATTTTTCTTTTGGGCCCCGGCCCCCGCTTTTTTTTAAAAAAATATCCCTCCCCCCCCTAATTAAAACTTTTTTCTAAAAAATTTTTTCCCACCCTCCTTTTTATGAATTTTACCACCAAAAACTCAATTTTTTATACACATGGTATATAAAAGGATGAGGGGTTTGGCCTTGGGGGGAAGCCTCCCCATACAAAATGATGTTTAGTTCACCCCCTCCCCCCCCCCCTCACCCCCACCCCAGCATATTCATCTTTTTGGTTGGTTTACAATATTCTTCTTTAGGGCACGGGCCCTCGATATTGTTAATAAATACATCGCTACCACTCTAATGTAAATCTTTTCCTAGAAAATTCTTCTCACATCCTACTATTAGAGAATTTAGCCACTAAGAACTAACTTTTAGTGCCAGGGTGTTGGCAATGTAACAGGGGTTGACAGTATGTTTTTTGTCCCCTTAATTTAATCTGACTTTTCTGACACCATGTACTGAAAAGAAGAGGAGGTCTTTTTCATCAAAGTTAATAATATTTTTTTGTTCTTGTTGCAGAAAGGAACAGAGAGATTAAAACAGGTAAGATGGTCATTTACTTCTTTTTCTTTTTAATAGTTAATCTTTCATTATCTTAGTACTGATGACACAAAGTAATAAAACATACAAACAAATCATACTAATTAAGGGTTATTTTTCCATGTCATTTCCGGAAAAGACATTTGAAAACTTCTTCTGGGAATGGTTATCTACAAAACTGAGATTTAAGACAAAAAAACTAAACCCCAAAAAGTTAGTCAGGCCCAGTGGAAAACTAAAGTAAATGTTAAGAATGTTTAATGTGTAGCATATATCAGCTCTCAGTTAAGATTATAGTTTTGTTCTTTTTTATTGGCTGCACAATCCATCAGTATACAGGTTTCAGTTTGATGAATGTCGTTTCATCAGATTTATTGTTCGTCAATTTTGTTTTGTTATAAAATAGATAAAGGGTTTCATTAAAGTAGGGTGCTAGTATTATTGATGAATTGCCCCTCACTTTGTAAACATTGATAATAAACTTTATAATTTGACTGGTGACAATGATATAGAATTAGATTGGATAGATTTTAACTGCAAACAACACCTAACCTCTGCAAGGAGTAAAGGTCCCACAATTATCCATGCAAGTGCATGCGAATTGAAATTCAAGCCACTGATCAATGGTGTGGTGTTGCATGGCTATCTTGATTTAATTGACCTGAGATGCAAAGTTACCAAAGATATGAAGGAATGCCTCTTTGTTCAGTGTTGCTTTTCAATATGATCTCCTCTCTTTCAATAACTAGATGGCAAAAAAATTAAGCCATTTAATAATTTGGGCTGGCTCCTCAGAGCTTCTGACTAGTAAACTTCAGCAGCTTGACCAAATGAAAAGTGATTTTTATCTCTCACCCTGGTTAAAACACAGTTTGATGTAACAGCTATTTAAGGGTCGTTCTTAATTTTCCAGGGAGTCTTTTAAGTCTTTAATTGGTCTAACTAAATTTCTTAGGTGTTAGTTTTCTAGAAACTGTTAGAAACATTATTTTTTTCAAATCAAATCCCTATATTAAATTTTTTAGGGCTGAAATTTTCCTCTTTTGAATTATGCTAGTTGTTTATGTTTTTATTTACTATATTTCCTACTGTTAATTCTGTCATTGCTAGTTTGTCCACATTATGATGTGTTCATCTGTTATGCTGGTCCTGACAAGTCATTTGCTGATGAGATTCTTCACTATCTGGAAAAAGGGCCCTACTACATGAAAGTGTGCATTGATTATCGAGATTTCTTGCCTGGTGCCGATCTCTTGGAAACTGCAGCCAAAGCTATTGAGGAACGATGCAATAAAGTTCTACTCATCCTATCGGAAAACTTTCACAAATGTGAAGTTGCAGACTTCCAGGCCAAAATTGCATTAAGCCTTTCTCCAGGTTTGTTTTTGAAACCATTGCTGATTTCCTGCTTTTGCTGTATTTTTTTGCAGTGGTGGGGTCGGGGGAAGGAGTGTCTCTGAAAAGTTCGCATTGACAATGGACAATCCTTGCTTTGCCTCTCCTTCCCAGAATCCCTTGTCAGGCCTCCATGTTATTCTATGGGTGATTTTTTTTGTTTTGTTTTTTGGTGTTCATAAAATGGCACCTCCAATATTTGATTTTTCCACAGTGTGTTTCAATGTCGACCACCGAATTTCCAGGATTTTTCACCTTCTAAAAAGCCTGGTGACTGTAATACTTTTAAGCAAATGGAAAAAGTTTAACTTTATAGTTTGAATTTAGAGATAGAGAGTAAGGGACTGACATGAAAATGGGGTATTTTCTTCCTCCTTCCCCATCATTGTTTGGCCTAATACCTGTCCGCTTTGTTATTTTTACTCTCCCTCTACCAATCTTTTCAGTTAAACCCAGGAAATATAGTGCACAGGTTAGGCTACATTTTATTGGTAATAGCCATGTAATAAGTTGTTTTATTGCAGAAATCAGGTACATGGCATAGGCCTTTAGGCCACAAAAGTTTTGAAAATTTTGCACAAGCATTGTTTTCAATTTCTCTTGGGATGATTGCAAGTCCCACAAGGAACTAAAAACATTTATTATGCAAAATTTTCGAGGGAAAGCACTGAGAATTATGGCATTTATGAAAAAGGCCCACTAAAAAAGGCACTTCTTTGATCCAAGGTTTCACAGGGAGAGGGATAATGGAATCATGTTATTTTACTATTAAGTTGTAAGCAGGTTAAATTGACTCTGAGTTGCAAAAAAGAATGATAGAAACAAGATCACAAAATCTTTATCAAAATAAAGTAGTATAGTGTATCTTATTTTTAAAATTATTATTATGAAAAAAGTGTTAAAGTGTGACTTCTTGAACCGTGGCACTTATTTGAAGATTATCCAATCACAACGAATTTTGAAAACAAAAGATTCTCAAGTTTTTTGCAAACCGATCAATAACGTTGATGAATTTGAGGGCTGTTTCTTGAGAGGTCCAGTAGGTTCAAATGGTTTCAAAGTTTTCAACGGTTGCATAGTTGAACCTTGAATTTTATTGGTCCATTGGCAAAAAAACTTAAGAATGTTTTGTTTTCAAAAAACATTGTGATTTGATAATTGCTACCTCCAAGTGCCAAGTAGTCATGCGGTAAATCATATTTTTACCAGGTAACAATTCACTGTATTTCTTACTTAACATCCTTTCATATTATTTTCCCAGGGGCCAAAAAAATGATCCTAATACCAATTTTGTACAGACCCTGTCAAATTCCTTCAACACTGCGATTCATCACATATCTGGACTACACAACAGAACATGCTAGGAAATACTTCTGGAACAAACTTTTAGCTTCTCTTGGTTACAAGATTCTATGATGAACAATAAAGGAAGAACTAAGAAGAAGTAAAACAGTGGAAGTAACAGGCAATATGTCTGATGCAAAATGAAGCTACAACTGCATGCAAAATCTTCTGTATCTAAGAAGAGGCTATTGCAACCATGAGGGTGAACATGTCATTTTGTAAATTCCCAAGACATCTAGTTCAATCAAGGACTTCATTCTCGCTAATTAGTCAATTTTCTCTTTTGTTGTTTGGCACCCTGTGTAAGGGTCCGGCTTGGACAAAACCCCTACTCACAGGGTAGTTGTTTGGTTGTTTGCTCTATAAATTCTAAATTTTATTGATTGGCAGATTCCTATTTTAACCCATTCACTGCTTAATTTTTCACCAGAAATAATAATTATTGCTAAATTCGCATCTGTCAGTTTTAATTAGGGTAGAGCTGTTAATGACAATGAGTTAATATTGAAGGAACCTATAATAGGTCTACATTTTTCCAAACAGAAACAGCTTCTCTATTTTTTTTATTTGTCCTCCTCGTACACCCTCTGCATCATGCTTTGCACTTGCGCTCTGTTTATCAGGTTCCGTCAGTCTTTTAATGAGGAAATGGAAAGGCTCTGAACAGTCCAAAATTTCAAAAATAGCTTTCTTTTCTCCTTGTTCTCTCGGATTCTCTTCTCTATTTTTGTCCCTCTACCGGGCTTTTGGTAGCCTTCATACCTGTAGTCAAAAGGTTTTTTGAGACCTTGAAACACATAACAATTTTTTAACATAACATTTTTAGCACAATTTATGCAGCAATTTTACATACCTGGCATGTATTTCTGGCTCATCTAATGGAATAGCCCAGTTTCAAATTCATCGCGGCTGCTGAATATATATAGAATAGAAGCATTGAATGCTCATTTATACAGGGTTAGCCTCGACCTAAGGTAAATATATTCACAATTTCCATTGAGAAGAAGACCTGTGTACAACTGTGTCTATTGTTTTGAACTCAAATTCAGGCACCTTCTCGCCGGTATTTGTGAATATTTTACTTTGCATCAAGCTTGACCCTGTATGAATGAGTCTTCAGTGCTTCTATTCAGCAGCCGCGAAGAATTCGAAACTGGACTATTGTTTGCTTTCGTGTTGTGCGTCAATGTTATCTGTGAATGTCACAGGTGGTAGAGTGATCATGTTTCATAGTTTCACACAGGCTTTTTTTTGCTTGTGAGTCAAGTGTGAATAGTCGAGAAACCTTTAATCGAAGTGTATTATTTTAATTGGTAAGATTTTCATTATCCCCCTCAAGTTCTTTCAATAGTCATTAAGTTGACTGAGCCCACATCTCATAGCTGTGTAGCCAATGTACAATCAGTGGAGGTATTTTTGGATCAGGTATCAAGTAAGAGCAATAATTTTTTCTGTAATTTGTCTCAAAGCACTGTTTGACAAATTTTACATTGTATTTACCAAAGAATGTCAAAAAAAATTGTCACGTGACTGTAGATCCAAGGACACCGCCTTATTGTGCATGGCTAACCATTTTGGATCATTTAACCTTTTTATACCTTGTATAGTGTACAGACTTAAGAGTGTATGTGCTTCTCCTGGTCCTTTTCATTGCTATGTCGTTAGCTACAGTCTGGGATATGCATTTGAGTCATTGATGCCGCCTTGTGTGGTTGTTACTCCAATAGTCTATTTCCGAGCTGCCCAAGCCTCTTTTTCAAAGCGAGGCTAAGTGCGAAGCTATTAAGAGAAAATGTTTTTATTCTCATGCAAGTAAAACTCATTGCTCTAAGACTTGTCTTGTGAAGGCGTGTGTGGCCAAGTGGTTTTAAACACCTCGATCTCCGGATCATGAGGTCCAGGGTTTAAAAGCCTCGCCTGTCGCGTTGTTTCCTCAGACAAGGAACTTTACTCCACTTTGTCTCTCTTCACCCAGGTGTATAAATGGGTAGCGGCGACATACTGCCTGGGGGGGGGGGGGGAGGTGGTAAACCTGCGATGGACTAGCATCCCTTCCAGGGGGGAGTAGCAATACTCCTAGGTGCTTAATGCTATTGAAACCGGGATGAGCTCCTGCCGTTTGGGCCTTTGTCTCGTGTGCTCCTTTACCTACCTGAAATTACCTACCTTGTCTTGAAATTGAGAGTTCTTGGATCTTGGAAATGGCTTATCTTCTTCCCCTCAGCCAAAAGTAAGATAAAATTTTACTACTTGTCGATAATGAAAAAGGAAATTTACGAGTTAAATCATGACCATGGAGTTGTTAGTTGCTATTAATAGTATTGTTGTACAGTAGAATTTGTTAGTAGAAGTTGACAATTTATATATTTCAAGTTTGCTTAAGTTGTTAATCTGTAAATCAGACATTCTTTTTTGACAAGTCACACCGTTTCCAAGTAAACATCGTAATACCTTACAGCATGTTATATTAATATTGATATGAGATAATCTTTTGTATCTCAAAAAATGACAAGTAAATTAAGGTAATGTACACAATATACCAGAAACAGCTAATGTTGTACTTTTATTTTATCCTTGGTGAACTTTTTTTTATTACGGACGGGCCATTAGAAAAATTTTTGAGGGAGCTGGGAATTTTTGAGCTGCTTGAATTGTTTTTCGTTAACATTTCCCTTGCAGGAATTATTTTTAGGCCAGTGCAGGAATATTTTTGAAAGCTACTCGGCACGCACGGATTTTTTCAGAAGGTTTTCCCTTTCACGAATATTTTTTTGGAGGAATATGAGGAAGAGACTTGGTATTTGTTAAGTATATTACAATACGATACAATACAATATTCTTTATTTAACGAAGGTGACGTAATAACCTAATGAGTTATCTAACTTACGGCCTTGACAACAATACAAATACACATATAAAAACAATGCCTAATCAGTAATATACGACTACAACAAGAGAAAAAAAAGAACTAGACAAATGTATGGTTAACATAGAAATAAGATGATATAAAGTAATTACCTTCTAATACGGTTACAATAAAGAGAAAAACGACAATCATAACACATTAATTGTTCAAGATGAGAAACGTTACTATTAAAGGATTCTTTGTGTGGTAAACAGGGGAAGAGTGTGTGCACGTGGTGGCAAATGCGTAATGATTCTTAAAGCTTTCTTTTGGAGACGGAAAAGAGGTTGCAGATGAGATGAATACGTAGACGCCCATACAATACAACAGCATTGCAGATACGGCAGCACTAAGGAGCTGTATAATAAGAGAAGAGTATTAGTAAGAAAGAACTGTCGTGATTTAATAATAATTCCAATGGATTTAGCTACTTTGGATGAAATAGCTTTTACATGAACCTGCCTTGAAAGGTTTTCGGGGATGACAACACCTAAGAACTTAGTGCATTCTACTCTTTTAGTTTTGTTCCCGTCAATACTTATATAAATATTATCGAGGTTGATTTTCTTTCTGGGAGGATGAAATGATGTAAATTTTGTTTTATCAGGATAGTTCACGATTTACACTTTCTGCTAAATCACAGATATTCTTATGCTGGAAGAACATGTTTAGGATGGAAGAGAGATGTTTAGACCACGAGAATATGTCGTATACATATACTAGTGGCCCTAGTAGAGACCCTTGAGGAACACCGCATTGAATTGGTAACATTTGAGATTTGTACATACTGAAGGCGAGGATTAAGAACGATTTTCTTCTTCAAACCCAAACATCAACACAACGAATGTCAAAGATTTTAAGTCTGTGAACGCTAAGAAACTCCACAACAGGTTTATTAGAGCTGTGTTCAAATGGAATTAAACACTTGCTTCAGTAGCACTCACAAAATTATAAAACATTTCACTTCGTTTCTGATCGGGTGCTACCTTGTGGCGGGGGCCTGGGAACTGCTAACAAACATCAAACAAATATTATCCATGTAACCACTAAGTCGAGATCCCTTGTCAGAAATAGGTAGCTTCCTAACTATGGTGGACAAGAAAACGCATTGTGCCACAAGATAAAAATATTTATTACGTTTCAAGATTCTTTCATTTTAATTTGTTGTCTTTCTTAAGCCTTTTAAAACAGGAATTAGTTCGTTTGCATTTTGCGACCTCGAAAAGTTTAAAGATTACTCACAGGTTTTTTCCATCGGCACGTACTTCAAAAAGTGACAATATTTTTTCCCTTTTGATTTCGCTTTATTTACACTGCTGATCCTGTACAGCTTCGTGAGGATTTTGCGATAACGTATTACTAGTCTAATCATTTCTCTCGTATTACCCTTAATTCACTTCATTCCAAAGGTTTAGAAAAGAGACACAGTATTCTTAAGTAGGTGTGTGAAAAGGGTGCCATGTTTTAAATGGGAGGTATGGCAAAAGGGTACATTTTTTGTCAAAACTGGTATATAGGACTGTAAGGGACATCGGGCGGAATCTCCTGGTACGAGAGAACTTTGTTAAGTCTTCTCTCCCCCCCCCCCCCCCCCCCCCCCCCCCCCCACCCCCCACAAACAGAAAAAAAAAACACCCCCAGTGTGTGGTAAAAAAAAAAGGGGGTTTTTCACTCAAAAAAAAAAGAAACATGTGTCCCACCGAAACACAAACCATCACCCGGGGAGACAATAAGATTTTTCATTTTTTTCAAACAACGAAAAAAAGAAAAACAGCCGACGAAGCAAGCGATAAAGAAAGATCGATCGCGTCGAAGAGCGAGTGTGAGTGTATAGATACAAATCGAGGCGAAGAGATGTGAACAGAAAAAAACAGCGAGAGGGGGTTGGGGTAGGGTGCGTTCCCTCCTCTCTTCATCCCTTTTTTTTTCCCGCCATCTTACTTCGGGCCGAACTTCATATCTCTTGGCACCGTCCCCACGATCTAAACGCCTGGAACAGGCTAACGCTCTTTAGTAAAATCCAACTAGTACTACTCCTGAGAATTCTTGATGGGGGTGTGCGCTCGGTTCTCCAAATCCTGACCCGATTTCAGACCAAAAAATGTAATTTTCTACCCCCTTTTACAAACTAGATCTCTAAAATCTATACCCGTTTTCAGACCTGGCCATAAGGCAGAAATTATGTTATCATTAGTTAGATTTAATAGAGCGCAAACAAAAATATTATTCAAATCCATTCTAGCCTGCGTAGCAAGCGTTTCCAATCGAGTTATTGCGCGAAAGTTAGAGCGGAAGCAAAAAAAGGTTTTTTTTTTTTAGCTCTTGTCCCAGCTTTCTAGACGAACCTCGAGAGGAAACGCCTGCTACGCAGGCTAATCTATCTCGAATTCGCATATTTTTCTTTCTCTCTTACTCATTTGGAATTGAAATGATAAAGACGTTCATACAATCCCGTAGTTCCTTCAAAAACCATAGCCGATTCCAGACCAAGATGGGCGAAGTGCATAAAGGAACGCTTTCATGAAAGGAGGAGGGAATAGTAGTGGGCAGTGGCTGGGGAAATTTTGGGTAGTCTTACACCAAGTAGTACCCAATCAAAGAGGAAGTTTTCCAAGCTTCAGGCCATTGCACGCCATAGCTCTAGTACTTCCTGAATGATTCTACAGGGAATTCTGTCTTTTCCCCTCTTACTTAGCTTTAAGGTAAGCGTATATTAATAGTAAATGACCCTCTAGACTTATTTTGTGTTTACGTTCGGATAGACGATCACAAATATCCACCTAGAGTGTAATAATTAGCACAATAGCCATGATTAAGGAATTCAGGGTAATCCGTTTACGTTTTTGTGCTTGACGACGATTCTGCTCCTTCGATGCTCAATTTCGTGGGTTTTTTGTATGCCATATACATGTAAACCATAACTTACGTTGGAAGAGGGGGACATTGAGGGACTGTCAACACGGCAACACCGCAAAAAAATTAAATTAATCTAAGTAGAGACTGACCACAAGATTCTAAGAACTTTATTTCAGTCATGCAGATACATGTGTAATTAAAGAATGCATGGTGGCATGTTACGAACTTACCAACTAGAATTTGTTTTAATGATAGTGGTTTAGGATCCCCGCCCTTTTTCCTTCTACATAAAAAAGGCGATACATCCGGTTATGCACTCCGTTGTAGGCTCAATGACCTTGGTGATGAAGCCATTGACAATGCGTTTACAGGTTGAACTGACCATTAAAAACATAAAGTGTAAAGGGTGTTTTTAATTCTTGTCTTCAATGTTCTTATTCATAACTACAGTCAGATAATAAATGGCAACACTGGCAAAGGGTCTGCAAGTTGTTTCATAAAATTAGAAACACTGTACGTACACCGTATGGTTTGAGATCACCGCAACACCGCATTAGAGGGGATTTTATTCACCACAACACCGCAGAAAAAAATAAGCAACACAGCAAATCCCCATGTCCCCCTTTTGGAAGAAGTATTGGTTTATTCAAAATAATTTCCTACATTTTTGGGGCAAACTGCATGATATAAGGACAAGTTACTTGTCATTTTTCCACAGTTTACAGGATTCAACTTTGGATCACGAAGGACAACAATGTTTCTGAAAAAAGCAGGGTCACTAGAAAGAACGGCCTTTGTTCACAGCTCAATGCAGCAGATAAATACGACACTATGGGTCCTTTGAAATTGCTTAGACACCTGGTAGTTATTTTATTATTATTATTTTTTTTTTACCTAAAAGGTAAAGCAAAACTATTTTTTCTCGAGCAACACTTTCCAATTTATAAAAAAAGCTTGAACATGAGCTACCGTAAATGAACTTAAGTGTCGGCATTCAGTCTTTTCATTGAGAGCAGGTGCAATTTTAATATCAAAACTTTAAAGACATCTTTGACCGAGCAAGGTTTTTTTCTTTTTTCTTTTCAATGGTTACTGTGCTTGATCTGAATAAGATAATGAAATTTTTAAAATTAGGGGAATACTATATTTAAAAGAAGAGAACTTTGATTCAAGTGTTAGTTGGAAAAAATACTGATTATATTTTTTTAGTACATAAAGGTTAAAAAAAGTGATGCATATAGTCTAAAGTGCTACAAAGGAGTAGAAACCCAGATCTTTCCATTAATAAATTTTATTGACACTGTCAGGGACATATGCTTTCCTGGGGTACACATGTACATTTGTTCATCAAAATATTTGTTTGTAAGGCTGCACTTTGCTTGATTCAGGATCAATCAATCTTTTCTGAAGAGAAATGAAAAGTAAAGTATGTTAACATGTCAGATACTTCAACACTACCTTAGCTAACAACTAAGAAGAAACTGAACTTCATATCAAAAAACAAAGTGAAAACTACTTTACGGTGAAACGACAACCCCTTCAAATATATATCATCGATATATATCATCGATGTTATCGATGTCATCTAGGGACTCTCCATACGAAGAAAGACTGGCGATGCTTGGGTCGTCCCTTCTTCAATCTAGGAGGTCTTATCTATCTTTGCTAGAGTGCTACAAGACTACTCATGGTCTTAATGGCCTCAACTGTAATGATTATTTTGAATTTAATTATTAAATTCAAAATAATCATTACAGTTGAGGCCATTAAGACCATGAGTAGTCTTGCAGCACTCTAGCAGAGCTGAATAAAAACTGGACCAAAAAAAAACAAGATCAAACCATTCATTTAACAATTCATTTAGCTAGATTAAATTGTTTTTGCACTCATTCTTTATTAGAATTATTGAACAGTCAGGAAACGCTCTTCCTGAAGAGATAGTGCACAAACAGAATTTCAGCACATTTCGAAGTAAACATAGAAAGTATTGTAAAATTTTGTAAATTTTTTAGCCATTTCTTAATTAGTCTTCAATTTTACATTGTACTATATTTATTTTATATTTTATGGTGGGAGCGTCCTTGATAGGGGTAACCTCTGATGTTTCCTTTTATGTATCCTTACAGAATAAAATATCTTAACTTTACCTCTCCTAGACTAAGTTTGGGAAAATCTGGTTTTTTCTTTCTCCTTCCTTGCTTGGACATTGACTTCATAAACTCTTGGTTAGGTAGGAGTAGTTGATAGGGTTCTCAGGCAAGTTTGGTCACTAAGCATTCAATATGACTGCGACCAAATGTAACAAAGATTCAGGTGATGCGGAGATGTCTCTCAGCTGGCATAACAAAAGGTGTGAAGTTCAAGAAAAGTCAAGGATTTAGTAAATTAAATGAAATTTTGTTGTTACTGGAGTCTGTTCTGCAGAAGTTAGAAGAAGGGACGTAGAAAAACTGCACAGCTTGAGGTCTCCGGTTTTTGCCAGGAAAGAACGACCAACCTGATTTTTTTGTTTGTTTTTGAATGAAATTTGCATTTGCTTCCATTATTATAAAGCAGTTGAACAACAGATTTACTATACATAGAATGGCAATTCTTTGTCTTAAAAATTGTACCACTCCCCTCATGAATTGTGTACATTTTCAGAATTGTCTCCCCTCCCCCCAAATAAAGCCTCTTCAAAAATTGTACGGGCCCCCCCCCATCCATAACATTTATTTTGTTACAGTACTGTACTTATTAGCTATATGTACATTACTTTGGTTACTGTACTGTTACGCACTCTTTGACAGTTTTTTTTTACACACTCTTGGTCACTTGTTCTCTTAATTGAAAGGATGGAGAAAGGGAAATTCAAGAAAGTGAAGCGTGAGAGGGCATCATTTTTCAAAAGAAGAAAGCAAACTACAAGACAAGATGCAAGGAATGGGGAAGATAAAAAAGCCAATCCACAGCATAAAGAAATGGTTGAAAGTGACAAAGATTATTTGCCTGATCTCAGCTGGCATAACAAAAGGTGTGAAGTTCAAGAAAAGTCAACGAATTAGTAAATTAAATGAAATTTTGTTGTTACTGCAGTCTGTTCGGCAAAAGTCAGAAGAAGGGAGACAGAAAAACTGCACAGCTTGAGGTCTCCGATTTTTTGCCAGGAAAGAACCACCAGCCTGATTTTTTTGTTTGAATGAAATTTGGATTTGCTTCAATTATTATAAAGCAGTTGAACAACAGATTTACTATACATAGAATGGCAATTCTTTGTCTTAAAAATTGTACCACTCCCCTCATGAATTGTGTACATTTTCAGAATTGTCTCCCCTCCCCCCAAATAAAGCCTCTTCAAAAATTGTACGCCCCCCCTCCATAACATTTATTTTGTTACAGTACAGTACTTATTAAGTACATGTACGTTACTTTGGTTACTGTACTGTAACGCACTCTTTGACAGTTTTTTTACACACTCTTGGTCACTTGTTTTCTTAATTGAAAGGATGGAGAAAGGGAAAGTTAAGAAAGTGAAGCGTAAGGTGGCATCACTTTTCAGAAGAAGAAAGCAAACTACAAGACAAGATCCAAAGAATGGTGAAGATGAAAAAGCTGATACACTGCGTAAAGAAATGGTTGAGAGTGACAAAGATTATTTGCCTGATGAAATTCATGCAGAAGGACAGAACACAGACTCCCTTGAGGAGAATTCACAAGCAAAATTAGGTTAGAACATGTTTGAATATTAAATACATGTATTTACTCTTGACATTTGTAGCTCTTACAATCTAACTTTGCTGTTTGTTTTTTGTTTTTACAAAGTTGAATCCTTTCCGAGAGATGAAAAGCTGTTAAAGGATTTACCTTCTGAAGGTTACCAGAAGTTGGTGGAGCACTTACAACCATTATCAGCCACTGGAAGAGATTATAGGTCATTAGCAGACAGAATGGGATACTCAAATCAGTACATTCAGTGGCTTGGAAGTACAGATGATCCTGTTATGAACTTATTAAGAAAATTCCGGGAAAATGACCGGAAAATTTCAGAGATGACATCGTTGCTAAAAGAGATGGAACGGTATGACGTGCTAGAGGAACTTCAGCCATATATAGGTCAGTGAGATGTAGCCTGAAAACTTGAAATGGACTTATTTTATGAAGGCTGGCCATATTTGAGATAGGCCAAGAGAATTTGACAATCATCAATGATCATATTATTAAGGCCTTTGCAATGGTGGGGAGGAGGGTATGCTCTCACTTTGTCGTCATTGCTGAAACCACCTGTTGTTGCCTTGTAGGTAAAGAAAAATGTTGCTGTTGCATTTTAGCTGGGGAATGATGGAAGAGAGATCATTTTTTCTCTTCCCAAACAGCCAAATTATAAAAAGGATCAGATGTCACTTTTACTACTTAAAAAAAGATTGTCGCGTTCAGAATTCTTTCCTCCTTTCCTGTCCTGTTAGTGCTTTCTGTTGCCAGTTTTCTGGGCCATGTTCCCTGTCACTTCCAGCCCTTAGAAGGCCTCATTATCTGATTGTCTTGTTTTAATATTTTAATGTTTCATTGAACCTTTAGATGCAACTCGTACTCAAGCCCAAACAGTCGAAAAACAACAAATACTTGGTGTGTACAACAATGTTCATGGATTTGTTTAGTTATTTACATGAAGCTTTCCTCATTTGCTTTTGAGTGTTTGATCCTTAACACTGTCTTTTAGTTTCAGAAATATATAATATCCTGGGAGGGGGGGGGATGGTTACTCGGGTCAACTTTTGCTGGGTATGTGCTGCTCGCCTCTCAGAGGCCCTACCCCACTATTGTCTATTCTGTGCCCAATTATAGACCCATTTTAGGCAAATATGTAATTTTTGTGATCTCATCTTAGTCACTTTCTATTTATGTATCCACCTTATATTGAATGAAAAACACTCTACTTTTCAGCAACAGTACAAACATTCTGGTGTGTTTGCTAACTGCTAATAGGAAGACCTTTCTTACCCCCAAAATCAGAAAATGTGCAACCCCATTCTAGTAACTTTATTGAAAATACAACCCCATTCAATCCAGATGTGAAAATGCGACCCCATTCAATGGCACATCCCCATTAACCTAATACAAGGAAGTACCCTCCCTGGGATATACATTACTATTTTATACGTTAGTGAAAGTACCCCAGATGCCAGAGGGTTTTCTCTAAAATATGTGAATTTACACTGTAATATGTTGCATGGCAAAGCCATAGGTATGATTGGTCAGGCTGAGACATCAAGGTGCAGTGAGTCTTCTCAATCTCATTGTGCATAACTTGAAGATGGAGTAGTGTGAAAAGAAAAAAAAACACTCAAAATTGTGACCAATGTTTGAACAATTTCATTTTCCAAGCACTTGGTAATCACCTTTTTTCAATAAGTGAATAAGATTTATTTATGTACCAAGTATCATACTTAGTGCGCGTTGGATATGAGATGGTAGATAGCCAATGAGATGCCTAGCGTTGAGTTGACTATAATCATGTCATATCCAACAAGCGCAAGTGGAATAATTGTTTTATTAAAAATGCCCACAAAATATTAAAAATTCTTCCTAACTTTATTTGTTGAAACAACCGATTTTCAGCTTGTACTTAATTTTGAACAGATGCGTACATCATATTTGGAGAGCATGGTATAATGGCTCATATACCATGATGGCCAAACCAATCAGAGCTCTAGAATTGCATTATCCAATGATTTCTGAAGTTTTTAATGAATTATATTATTGAAAACAAGAAAAAAGGAAAAGTGAACCACTATAATTGAACGTTAAACTATATTTTAGTATTATTGCACACTGAAGAAAATGGTCTGCAGGTAAAAACAGTCAGGTTTGATGGTCTTGTCCTGTTATATTCTTTCTGTTATTGGTTGTTGCACATGTATGATGTACTTACAGACTTTCTCCCATGTCTTTTGCCTTTTTTTCTTATAGAAAAGAATGAGGATTTAAGAACTAGTAAGTGTGTTCATTATACATTACTGACAATGAAAACAGTTGTTTTAGTTTTAGTTCATTTACATACATTTTTACTGGATTTCTTTTAAACCTATTCCAAAATGGCAGCGATGCCACTTTTCTTAATATTGATATTAGTGATAGCCCGCTTTTTTGGGATTGTATCTGCAAAATTCAGAAGAAGTTTTACTTAGAAATGAGGCATTAAGAGCGAATTATCATAGCAGCAGAAGAGTCACAAACTTGTTGCCTTTTTGCAATTAGATGTGTACATGTAGATGTCTTTGAGAGCATTTTTGATTGAAATTAATCAGAAAAAAAATTAGAGTTGAAAAAAGGGAGAAAGCAACTAAATTAGGGTTTTACACAGTCTTGAAAAGTCCTGAAATTTTAGGGGAAGTCCTTAAGACGTCCTTAAATTCCATTTTTCCTTGAAGAGTCCTTAAATTTCAGTGCGAGTCCTTGGAAAGTTTTTGCATTTTCTTCAACTTTGAATGTCATGGCCTGGAAAGTGTTTTTTGAAATGACAGACAGAATATATATCATAGCTCAGAGCAGTTAAAGATGATTTACATGAAGCGTTTTTTGCTTATGCAAGAATCAACTATCAATAAATATTTAAGACAAGTGAACTGAAAAATGTAGAGGAGTTGGTGAGGCAAACAGCTCAAGCCTTAAAATCCTGTTAGAATGGACAGGAAATGTGTATTTTTGTACAATCTGTGAAATTACATTCGTGGTAGGTAGTCCATGAAATCTAATGTGGGCCTTGAAAAGTCCTTGAAAATGGTTGCAATTTTTTGTATGAAACTTGTAATGGTGATTAACTGTTGACAATACCTTCGGTCTAAACTTGATCAGCATCATAGTCACATTTTACCTTTTATCGAATATTTTCCATCATGGGACAAATCATGGGATGGTTATCACACTGTTTTCCTGAGAGGTATTTTCTTGCTGAACTTAGTGATATATTTGTGTATATTTTCTTGCTTTACTTGGCTCATTGCACATATAATCTGTTTTCATGTGTTTTATGTTGCAGAGTGGGATTGGTATCATGCATTTGTGTGTTCTGCCAAGAAGGACCGTGCTTTTGTTGAAAAACTTGTCAAAAAAATGGAGAACTCGCCTTATAATTTAAGGCTTTGTTTTAGTGAGCGTGACTTCCTTGGTGGTGGCTATCACCTTGAAACTACTGCAGTAGCCATCGAGAAACGATGCAAAAAGTTTATAGCTGTGCTGTCAAGCAATTTTGATGACAGTGAAGGAGCAACGTTTGAATCCCACATTGCAATGAGCCTGTCTGCAAGTTAGTAACAATTGTTTGTTTTTATCTTGAACCATCTCTCCTCATTAACCCTTCAAACCTCAGTATCCACATATGAATTACTCAAACTTATCTCCATCCATCCTTTATTAGTTGAGAGAATTTGATTAAGGATCAGATCATTTTCCTGTTGTCATCATTTCATTTATTCTCATAACCTTTTTAACTGATGGTGAATTGATTTTGTTGGGAGAAAATTGATTTTGGTCACTCTTGCAGAGATTTAAATGGTTTAAGCACAGTACAAGTTTTATTGTATTCCACTCTTTTTACATGATAAGTCTTTTTTATAAGAATATAGATGCTGAAATTGGCGAAATGTTAAGAATGTGTTGAGAGTATTCTCAAGGCTGTTAAAAACATGTTGGTGGAAAATAAAATGCACAAAAATCGCAACGTTTTAAATGAACTTTATTGAACCGTTGAAGAGTAGATTAGTTTCTTTCCATTTCCTGCTAAAATGTGCCTCAAGACGATAAAAATTGGTACTACCAATTATTAAGCACTTGTGTTATTTAACCCGATACACGAGCCATAAATACAGTACTCTCTAATCTCAGGGTCATGTAAGAGTGTACACATTCAAGGATATTTTTAACCTAACGTTGGCAGAAAAATAAGAATATCCAGCATGAGCGTGAAAAACACGTTCTGATATTTTAAAAAGACTGTATATAAATCAGTATATAAAATGAACAAAAACACCTGCAAAAACATCTACGTATATAGCTTGACTATCCTAGGAGTGCTCAGGGCATAAAAATATACAAAGTGAAATAAGTTAACTTAACTTCCATCTTTTACATTTGTAAATCGGTATATGAAAATCAATTCTTCATGTACCTGTAGCATTAATGTCAAGAGATGTTGCTAATATTTACTCTTCATAGTATTTTGCTCCTCTTTTAAATATTGAGTGGCGGTTATGTAAGCGAAATGCCTCTTACCAAAACCGCTAAGATGGCTATTGCCGCTTATTTTACAGGTGAAAAAAGAGAACGCTACATCCCTGTTCTCATAGAAGACAGCTACAGACACAGGATACCGAAGACAATAAAACATCTCTATCATCTTGATTATACCCGGATAGACGAGTCAATCTTTTGGAACAGATTAGCAGACTGTCTGACTACATAGCATGAAAGTTGGCAGAAAGGAGGTTGATTTTTGTGAATTTAGGAAGGAATGCAAACCATTGTTATTTTAAGGCCTTTTTTCGAAGACACAATGACGGAAGTTGAGAAGGTCAGTCTAACTTTTGCAAGTTGAATTCCATTCCTTTCTCGTTTATCCATCCATGGCCACAGACAACTGTGAATGGTGTCAGTGCATGCGTAACATTTCCATCATTGTTATAACCTCCAAACTTACATGAGTGGAGCATTTAATAGAAAGTTCGCCTTGTAAAGGTGGGATGGATTCTGAGATACCCTTGGGAATTAGTATTTCTTTATATCCGTGGGGAACTAGTATATCTTTATACCCGTGTGAAACTAGGTTATCTTTCAAAGATATGGTAGTTTGCCACCGGTATCTCAGAATTCATTCCACACCGTACAAGGCGGAAAAATACAAAGAAAAATTAAGCCATGATTTCAACAAAACCCGTTGAGTACCGCAGAATATGTAACGGTTTTCATTCCTCTGATTGGTTGTATTCATGGCTTGAGATGCAAGGTGAATATAGAAACAGTACTGCACATGTTATGCAAAGCTCTTTTTTCTACTAATTTCCACAAATTGAGACATTTTTGTTGATTTAAAACCTTTAAATTAAGTTGAAACAAAGTCCGATTGTTTTTTCAGTTATTAATCAGCCAGGATGTTTTGAAATTGTATCACTTTTTAATGTAGTATTATCGGTCCTGTTTAATCACGGGGTGTATACGGTTTCCGAATGGAGTCAACGTAGTCTCGTTTTTGAAACATTTAAGTTTACAAAATTATGAATAGTAAATTTTAAACGCCGGCAAATTAAGCATGAATATATATATATATATTTTTTAAAGTTCGCAAACGTTTTTATATTAGTATATTAGACTGCTATGTCCTGTTTGTATAGTACCTTATTATAGGAAATTAGCCCTTCATGAAATTATCGCGTTAATTTGACTAAACGTTGATTTCCGCGCCGTTAATTACGTGGAGCGTTAATATCCGCGACCTTAATTTCCAGTGAATACAGTTTTGACATCCGTTTAGGGAAAGAACCAAGAACCATAAGTCTCAACAAGGTTTGTTTCTTTGTGAACGTCGCGTTAAGTTCCTTCATTTTCACGTTAATTTCCTTTATTTGAAAATCGTTTTACACTAAATTGGAGTTAATTTAAGTCGCGTTAATTTCCAATACCTCAATTTCATGAAGCGTTTATTCCCTATAATAAGGTACCAAGTATTTTATAAAGCTCCAACGTCACTCATGGGCTCTGACGTTGATGAATTAGAGATATACGTGAAGCAAACTTGACATGGTGAAAGACAAAATTAAGTTAGATTTACGGAGACGTGTTTCATGTCAAGTCACAAGGAAGTGATGGATCAAGGCTTTGAGTTAAAGCCGGGGGGCGGAGGGGTGCGGGTGCCCTTAGGGGCGGCCTTCACACCCGGTGCCCGAGTATGGTACCCTAGTACGGTACCCGCTGGGCACTGTTGTGAACACACCTTTTTTTAAAGTACCCACGCCAACTTTCGGGCATTAAAGTAACCACTGAGTCGCTGCGTGCACACCATTTATTTTAGTTCGGGAGCAATCCACTGCTTTGTACTCCGTGTTAAGCCCACGTTCCAAAATGACGTCTGACAGTGTGAAATAGAGCTTCATATCGGGTTCTGAAGGTGTGAACACAACACCATTTTGTGCGTGTATCCAGGCACCAAGTGTGAAAGGCCCCTTACTAAAAAGAATTATATCGGTGGCTAGCCTGCGTGCAACAAAGCAATAGGAGACGTCTGCTTAGTGCAGATTATACATCGGCAGCCCCGGTTATGATCTAAAAATAAGCTGGGGTTCCCTTTGCCTTTCTGTTAGGTCCGCCTCTGTCAGTGTATCCAACAAAACTATTAATAATGCGGTTTCAATCCGCGTTTTTCCTGAGCATAAATAGACTCGTAGCAAGAGACAAACGTTGGTTCCTATTTAAGTGATGCTTAATCTATCTAACTACTGTCTATATAGTATGTATATTTTGTATTCCTTAATTACTGGCTTATCGTTGGGGTGATTTAAGTTTTGCAATAAAGACCGCCTTTTTTATTTTCTTCTGTTGTAGTTGATTTTCTTTGTGTAACACTTTCATCCCTAACTATAGAAGCATCTCGATAGCTCCAACGCCAACTGCTGCCTCACAGCGGTAAGATTTAGTTTATAAAGTGACGGGGGATGAACTGCCTTTGTTGAGTTGCTAATCTGGTAGCACACTCACGTCTAGGGCTAGACTGCAACCAGTCTCTCTTTTCTTCAGATTTAGCGAGGGATGTTCATGCGCGAGTGAGCGTAGAGCGGCCGCCCGAGAAGAAAAAAGAACTCTTTTTTTCGTGCCTTTCCTGTCTCGCGCCTTCAGTCACGCGTGTGGTCATTTGCGTGTCTCACGCGTTTTGCTCGACGTACCAAGAAAAAAGAGAGAGACTCGTAGTCTAGTCTAGGCCCAGAGGAAAGTAGAACAGCGAATGTTACAATAGTAATTATGATTGATCGAGGCGCAACTCGTTGGCCAAGGTGGAAGCTATTTTACCATCATGAACATGATTTTGAGATTGGAACAGTTTTAGTTTTGTTATCTCTTTTCTAATTCTAGCGAAAGTGCCAGTTTTCCGAAATCCAGAAAATTGTGTAACCTTATAATAGTAACTTTTGAAGCAACCCATTTTGTTGTAAAAATACGGCCTCACCCAGCGATACACATCCCCATTACGTGAACACTTGGAGTAGATTTTTGCTGATCAGTTCTCCTGAGGAATCCTACATCTACTGTAACAGTATATTCATTTGCGGTCCTTTGCAGTTACTGTGAGTAGGTTACTTTACATTCTAGTATTGGCCTGGTACTCAACGTAGGAAGAATTTTCCCTGTAGAGACGTGGTAAAAGCAGGGCGGTAGCAAGGTTTTTTTTTTACGGGGGCGGGGGGGGCATTATCTCAAGTGCAGGCTGGAGGGTGGTGCTGGGGGTATCCTCCCCAAGAAAGTTTTCAAAGTTGGAGGCTCCGTAACGCTCTTTTCAGCATTTGTCATGTAATATGTCTGCGAAAAATCGACCTCGAATATGAAATTGGCAAACAATTGCAAGTCACAATAACCAAAATAACTAAAGAAAACAAATCCATTCACAGACTTAATGTGTCTGGCCAAGAGACTATATTGGGGACAGAGAGGGCATCCCCCATATACACCCTATTCCATAGGTAATTCGTCTCGAGTTATTTTTAACACCGCAGATCTCAAGGGGGATTAGACAACAGCCAATCACATAGCGCGAATGTGTTCCGCGTGGATGACCCACGCTGAGAGTCACGCGTCCTTCACGAAATGACGCAGAACAAAATGGGGGAAGACGCGGAGAGCGATTTTGCGATTCCTTTTGTCGACGAAAACGACTATAGCGAGATTTCTGCGAAAGCTGTGTCAGCGAAACCGAAATTAAAAAAGAATCGCCATTCCTCTCTTGTATAGAGCTAACAGTAGAGCAGGGGAATCCTTAACACACTGAATATTCTCTCAGGATCATTTATAATTTACAGTTTGAAGAGAGCAATTTCTGGTTTAATGTTTATTTTTTTCAGTCTTTATAGCGATTATTCCTACCCACTTACTTTGTCAATTGTTAGCCTGTGCCAGGCTCTCAGATAGTATAGTGGGAACGTATTAAAACGAGCAAAGCGAAAATAAGACGCGCACGACTTGGGAAAGGGGGCGGTGGCTCCCCAGCCCCCGCGCGTTTTTCGCATTTCTTATTACTGAACGACTTTCCACCACCATCTCGGAGCCTGAAACAGGCTAGTCAATTGTAGGCGAACCCTCCTAAAGCTGAATTTCAAGGGACCATATTCAAGCTCAAAAAGAGAAATAAAATTTCGTCGTTGCTTATTTACGTCCTCCATAAAACGCGAAATTAGGCATTTTCACGTCGTAGTCGTGCAAAAACGGGAAAGAAATGAACAAAAAAGTGTGTTGCACGTGCGAAGTTGTTGTTTTGCTAATTAAACCTATTGTTTTCTTGACGTTCTAGTTGTCGTCCTCGTCGTTGGATCTTAAACTCCCTACTGATTGTACAAACGACCGGTTTTAATAGACCGGCGAAATTTCTCATTTTATTAAAGCACTGAGGTTACGACAACTTCGAGTTAAACTGATTTCACGGGTTGTCAAAGAGTCCAGCGATTCCTTTTTCCCAGGTGAGCGCCGACTCATTTCGCTTCAATATTCAGGAATGCTCTCGATCTTTTTACGCTGTCATTGCCTCTCGCCCGACTTGTTTTGCACGGCGTTTGGTCATGCGAAACCTCCACGAAACATCCACGCCTCGCGCGAGGTAACTTTATCCCGATTCTAAAAATAACTCGAGACGAATTACCTATGGAATAGGGTGTATATGGGGGATGCCCTCTCTGTCCCCTTTATAGTCTCTTGGTCTGGCTCAACAGGTCCAGGGGGGAGGGGGGGTAGCTGCCCCCCTTGCTCCCCCGCTAGCTGCGGCTCTGAAAAGTTAAGGGGATTTCACAACTAATGAAGAATTCGTTAAAAATAATGGTTTGTGTTCTTGTGTACTGTTGGATTTTTCCTCGCTAAAGTTTGACTCGTTGATCTTGCTTTTATTTCATGTTTCTAATTGTGATTTCTGTCATCTGTCAGTTTTTTACGGTTTCGTATCAGCAGAGAAAACAGCAAATACTATATTACGTCATTTTAGCGAGACTGCATAGAAGTTGCACTTTTTGCGTTGAGTTCTAGCACAAAACACTTTTCAAATTCCTCGCTTACCGTCTCACCCTGTATGGCTTGCCGTTTGTTTCATTTGCCACAGTGGCCATGTTAGCCAAAATTAATCGTTCCGATAATGTTAACTCGTTTATTTTTACACGTCTCTCAGTTCTATAAATGCTCAACAAGTTACGAAATCAGTTCCGGAAAAACGACTTTCGAACATACTTACATGGTACTTAAGCCAACTTAGACCTACTTATAAGGCGGTAATACGTCGACTGGTGACCATGTGACTTCGGTTATGACGTAAAAACGACGCCCTCGCGGTAACCCGCCCGCGATCTTTCATTTCCATCGAAGTTTGATTGTTGTAATACACCTTTACGCTGTTCGGTTCTGTGTGTTTATTCGGGCCTTGCGCCCACCAGGTAAGTGATTCATATTTTTAGGAGTACTTCTTCTTATCACGAAAAGGTTGTCATTCAAGCCTCACACGTAACGCTTTACATGCTACAAACTTCACGTTGACCAGCGAGTGTAGTGCTACAGACTCGAGCAAATGACTTGTGATAAGACAGCTTTAGATTCGAGGGAGCAATAATAGTGGAAGTTGTTTTTTCTTTGTAGTGTCTTAAACATACAACTTTTCGCTTATTTTCAAACAAGATCGGCAAATTGTTTCGCCGAAGAAAGCAAGAGCGATAGTCATGGATAGTCATAACAAAACCTTCTCTGAAAAACATAGGCACGCACTATGTACATATCAGGTTGATTATAATAAAAAAAGCTAAGCAATAGCAGGAGTCTATAAGCTTGAGCAAGGAACTCCCTTGTGCCCATGCCATAGCTTTTTCACAGTGCAGTTTATTTTTAGATAGATTTTCCTGCAGATTTTGAGTCTTAGTCTTAAGTCTTAGTGAGTGCAAATCGTTCTGCAAAATTGGTTTCCCCCAGTATTTTTACAAATTAGACTTGAATGTGACATTTTATTGACAAAAGTAAATATTTGCATTAACAAGATAAGCTTAAAGCAAGGGGCACTCATGAACCAACCCACAGCCTGGCCAATACTTCACGCATGCGCACAGCCATATCACCCGGGCAGTGGCAGCCATGGACAGCTGTTTTGCCCTTATTGGGGTTCATCAGCTGGGCCTATGTATGGACAAAGCTGTTTAGCAGAGGCCCTTTTCTCAATCTGTAATTGCACAGGTATCATGGAGGTCAAGAGTTCCAATCTCATACAAGCATGAAAGTTGTGTCTGTCACTACACTGACCTGCCTTACAGTTAATTTGTTTTGCTTTTTTTAATATCAAGTATGGAGAAGGAGAAACCGGGAAAAGAGAAATTTACAGTTCGACTAAAGCGTAATGTGACATCACTGCTCAAGAAAAGAAAGCGATATTCAACACAAAATGCAAGGAATAGAGAAAGTGCAATCACTGACACTCAGCCATCAAAAGAAAACAGTGAAGGTGATGAGTTAATGCTAAGCGTGGTACTTGATAGTACTGATAAGCAACACCATGACACAATCTCCCCTGAAGAAAAAGATTCAGAAAAGGACAAAGGTAAGAACTCTACGGCAGAAAATATTGAAAACAAATTGGCCCAGAAACTTATTTTTAATATGCACATTGTTTAGTACTTTTACAGAACTGTCTCCATTAACTGTGTTTACCAGCTTTGTTTAATCACTACAACAGCCTGAGAAAACAGCCAACATTTGGCGACACTACTACTGGTTTCCCCACCAAATGATGGCTGAGAAACAAGTGCAGAAATTCCATACTGATGACGCGTCACTACCCAGATCTGGGTAGTGCTTCTGATTGGTCGTGCCGTGTGGGAAATTGATTCAAGTGATGCGTCATCAGTATGGAATTTCTGCGCTCGTCTCTTAGACGTCATTTGGTGGGGAAACCAGTGGTAGCATCACCAAATGTCAGCTGTTTCCTCACTACACTAATAATAATGAATAAACATGAGAAAAATTCTCAAAAAAGGCAATTAGCCAATGTAGTAAAAAGTACAGAAACGAAGAAATGAACAAAGCCTTTTGGTTGGTCAATAAACAATTGAATCAATACTGATCATATCACCCCTCCTGTATGTGCTTTTTGTTGTTGCTATTATCAAATTGACACTAAAAGTCTTTCCATAAGTATCAGAAAGTATTGTTTTAAGGAAAAGTAGCTGCAGCTGTAAATCAAAGCTAACACTACCTTGCTCTATCATTGTTTATTGTTGCTAGTTTTGTGCTCTCAGTGCTAAATATTTTAACTTTTCTGTTTTAAATTAAGTGAATGTCGATGTCTGCTTTACATTTGACAAATGCCAAAATTTGACTTGCTCTTTGAAAAGCATACATCTAAGTTGATTCAAACTTTCTTAAAAGCTCTCTTGGTTTGAAGATCATAACAATTTATTGTGTTGACAACAGCATGGCCACAAATGATAAATAAAATGATAAGCATCCACATCTACATTAAAAAATGCTATGAGTGCTAATTGAAGCATTTACATTAAATATTATACTCCTGTAAAAAAATTTTAAAAAAAAGCGAGTAAAGAATGATGGTGTCTACAGGAACCTTGAGTATCATTGCTTCTTAATTTTTGTCTTGTGTACAGTTGTTGAGATCAGAAGTCTACATGTTCATTAATTACAGTTTATAATGATGAGAAACATCAAAGAAAACAAAACATTTTGACCCATTGTAGCTTTGATTTGTCTCAAGGGTTTAATAATGGATTTTTTGTAATTTCCTTGCTAGTTGGTGAAACAGCAGCTGGTGATGAGAAGCTACTGAAGGATTTGCCCTCTGAAGGTTACCAAAAACTAGTAGAACACTTACAACCATTATCAGCCACTGGAAGAGACTACAGGTCATTAGCAGACAAAATGGGATACTCAAATCAGTACATTCAGTGGCTTGGAAGTACTGATAATCCTGTTATGAACTTATTAAGAAAATTCCGGGAAAATGACCGGAAAATTTCAGCAATGACATCTTTGCTAAAAGAGATGGAACGAAATGATGTGCTAGAGGACCTTCAGCCGTATGTAGGTTAGTGTTAAAATGCAGCTTGAAAAGTTGGGGTTATTGTTTGTTTAACTGGAGGTCCCTGCATCTCTACAAGGTACTCCTGCTTTGACATAGTTTTGTAGGAAAACCATTTTTTGACATGTACTTGTGATAAAATTACAGTGGAACCCAGTTAACAGGGAAACCAAGGGGACATGCCATAGTGTCCTTATTATCCGAGTGTTCATATTAAGCAGGCTCTCAGAAAAAATGTTACAGAAGGTAGAAATTTTTGCAAGGAAACACTGCCTTATTTCTTATCTGTAACTTTAACAAGTTCATCCCAAAGAAACCTCATGATAATTTATCATAAAAACTACCTTTCAAGTACATTGTGTGGTGCATGTCTCTTGAAACACAACAATGGAATCTGTGACTTGACTTTGTACCAACGCTTTTAGTTTGTGGCTCAGCCAGATGGACTTGACATTAGACAGAATGTTTGAAAAGCCATTTGCTGTTTCTGCTATTTTTTTTTTCTTTAAGTGGTAAGTTTTTTAGTCATAGACACTGCGCAGATGAAGAGTGTCTATTAAGCAAGGTTGTTGATATATGGGAGTACATGTATGTGACACAGGACGTAGAATAGTGTTCTTTGTTCATATTAACCAGTGCCCATATTAAGTAGGTTGAAAAATGTTGTGTTCAGTCAATTATCCTTTGGTGAGTGTAGTCTTGTGCAAACTACATAGTCATTTTTGTTGTTATTTTGTTATGTTCATTCAGATGTAACCCCTACAAAAAGTCAAAGAGAGAAACGTCAGCAAAGACTGGGTTTGTATAGTATTATTTCTAACTTTTATTATATTCCAGTACCTGCCTGCATTGTCAAATAATAAGGCATTCTGAATTTCATTCAGTTGGTTTTGCTTATCCTTTCATACGGAAATGAGTTTTTATCCATGAACAAATATAACTCATTTTCATAAGATGGACTGTGTGATAGGCCCAATTTTTAAAGAGGTTCAGAACAATAATAATGATTCGGAAATGGGCTATATTTTGTTTGCGGAGGTCTCTTTTTATAGTGGCAAATGCAGAATTTATTTTACAGTAAAATTTACGTACTTAACAAAATAATAGATTCCACGTTGCCGTGTGTCTGTTCAGTAATAGATCACAGATGATGTCAGAATGTGGTAAAAACAAAGAAGTGGCAGACAAGCCGCAGGCGAGTGAGTGTGACTGATGTTTTTACCACATTTTTTACATCCTCTGTGATCTATTACTGAAGAGACCCACGGCAACATGGAATCTATTTGTTTTATACAATGATCAGGAAAAAAAAGACTGATACACATACCTTCCTCATACCGCTTGACTGTTCAAAGATTTGTGCTAGTTTAGGCAAGACAGTGAACTCATCTCTCATAGCAATGACACACGATGGCAACTGTTGTGAAGATTTCTTGAATTTTAGGCATTCTTAAGTTGTAAAGAGCTCTTTTTCTCTCCTTTTCTCCATTTTTCTTCTTTGTAAATAGCTCTTGCAAAGTTTTTTCGAGGCTTTCACTTGCCCTTAATCTGAAACCGCTCGATATGTTAAACAAAACAAAGAAAACAAGTTTCCTGTGATGTCATGCATGTATCTGTACTCCAATAGATCATGAATAACGACCAATCACAGCACACGTAGCATTCACATCATTGTATAAACTGAAATAGATTTCCAAACAGCAAAGACTGCTCTGTAATTGTTTATTTTTAAGACTGGTCATATTACACACGTTGTAGATCTGATATCAAGTCACACTGATGGTTTCTGAAATCTGTAGTTTTACATAACATATGCTAAGAATACATAAAATTTTTTGCTGATACATACTGTGAAATACATTGTCTTGTTTCTACTTTTACTCTAAGTTATAATACATTATTTTTCTTGAATTGAAATGTTGCAAACTACTCACAAGCCTTTTGTTTCATTTTTCTTGCAGAGGAGATTGAGGGGTTACAAACAAGTAAGTATATTTAACATCTTTTGCAGTTATTTTTTTGTGATGAAATTGTTACAGCTAGTCAACTCAGAGTATTAAGACAGAAAGAGTATTAAGACAGGAAATTGAGCAATTTCAATTTTTAGTGGACAAAAACCTTGTAGCAGAATATTTAAACAATATCGCATTGTGTTTTACAATTTTTATGGGCTGTAGATATAAAAATTAATTACCTGTAATAACACCATTTTCTCATGGGAGTCCGAGAAAATAAATGTCAAACTTCAGAAGAATAATGTGAAAACAGAGGTAACATTCTGAAAATTTCACGTGTAAGGTGTCATTTTGTGAAAATTGACATTTATTTTCTCGGACTCTCATAAGAAATTTTTTTTGGTGTTATTACAGACAACTAGTTACATTTATAGCCCTTGAAAAATGTAAAAAAGAATGCGATATTGCACAGGGAACCCGAACGCTGTATTTGCTAACAAAATAATAAAAGGTACTTACTTTTAGTCCTTTGTCCTTATGAGTCGTTTTGGAAGGGCTTTGAATCCGATCAGAGACAGTTAACATTGCTGGGAATGCGAATGTAGGATCACCATCCTACATGTGTTTTGTTTTAGTTTAAGCTTGTCTTGCCGTGGTCATAAAAGTTGTATAAAGCATTAATTTTCATTCTTTGCTTGCAGTTCATGATTCATACGATGCATTTCTTTGCTTTGCAAATACTGCCAAAAAGGACAGTGAATTCGTGGAAAAACTGCTCAAAAAAATGGAGAGCCCACCTTATAACTTACGACTATGTTTTAGTGAGCGTGACTTCCTTGGTGGTGGTTGTTACCTTCAAACTGCTGCAGTAGCCATCGAGAAACGATGCAGAAAGTTTGTAGCTGTGCTGTCAAGCAATTTTGATGACAGTGAAGGAGCAATCTATGAATCCCACATTGCTATGAGTCTCTCACCAGGTTAGATAAAAATGGCAGCTTGGGAGACAATGGAGGGGTAGGCAGGGTTTATATTAGCAGCTGTCTTTTTCTTTCTTCTTTTCTTTTTTTTTTCTTTCCAATTTTTTTTTTTTTTGAATATTACAGGGTGTAAAGAAAGTCAGTTTTACAGCCTGCCATTCAGGCAAGCTGTAGCTAGCATGCACTAGCCCACAAGTCATTTTAACTAGCTCAAAAACCCTTTTTGATCAGCAGTATTGATTACAATCCTTCTGTAATTTGAATTTCCCTAAAAAAAACAGCACTGGCCCATCAGGCAAGTTAAGAACAAAATTCACTAGCCCAATAGCAAAATCCACTAGCCCCAGGCCATCAGACACGATTTTCTTTGCACGCAGCATTAACCGGCAATATTTTAATATTTATAAGACTTTTTGTGTTATAGTTTTCATCGATCTAATGCTGAAAACAAAGGTTGAGCCCCTAAAGACAACTACATGTAGTCTATGAGATAACTCATTGCCACTATTGAATCAAAACCGTGCAAACTATCTGATGTACAAAAAACAAAGAAAAGTCGAGTGATATTGTTCGACCATAAAGTACATCATTTCTTGTTTAAGTTAACGTAGAGTTAGCAGTTTCAAGGTAACAATGTGATATAACCATTGTCCTCTCTCTTGTAGGGGCACAAGAGCGACGCTTCATCCCCATCCTGATTGAAGATGCATATCGATTCAAAATTCCACTGACAATACAGCATCTTACTTATCTTGATTATATCAGAGAAGAGGAATCAAACTTCTGGTACAGATTAGCCTGTTCACTGGGTTGGAGAAGAAACTGACTTTTCATTCTTACTAGCTGAGAAAGCATCAAAGTGTAAAATGGTTTTTCGACTCTTTTTTGACACAGAAGCACAGAATTGGCCACTCTGAGATGAAACGTTTTGGGAGATAATTAACATTGGAAACCATACATACATGACACCCTACCCAGACCCGGTTTGTTTTTTGTTTTGTTTTGTTTTGTATTTGTTTAAGTGTTTTGTTTGTTTTGTTTTGTTCTTTTTTTGAAGTGGCCAAAATCACACCCACGGCTTATACATCCTGTAAATGCTTTCGAAACTGTCAGGGACATTAATAGGGTATAACAATGCTTATAAACAAGAAAACAAATATTGTCAAAAATATTGTAAATGAATAATTTTTCTGTACATTTTATGTTGTATATGTTCCTAAAAGGTTTTTCTCGATATTCTTATTTATACATTTCAAAATACTTGGTTGGTGGTTGTGTAGCGTTTGAGTTGTAAATAACTTTTTATTTCGATTTTGTAAATTCTTTTTAGCAGGTTGTTATGTCATTATGTTTTTACTTTATTTTTCTGTTGAATGCAAATACGAGTTAATTTAGGTTGGTTATATTTTGTAATTTTAGTGAAAAGTGATAGTACTTGAAGAGATATTGTACGTATTTTTATTATAGCAAGGGTAGCTCACGACCTTGATATTTACAGAGAAATTAAGCTTAACTGTCCTCATTAAGTAGAATTCAAAAGACTTAGAATACAAAATGTACATGAACTCTATGAGTTGCTTAAATAAGATTATTTTATAATAAAAGGTTGTCTTGGAAATGCGAAAAGCGTGCGTTCTTTCTTGATTTTCCTTGTGTAATCAGTGTACACTATAGACCCTTCCTGCATTCTTGTCAACAAAGCCACCAACTCAAGGCTTGGGTGGACAAAAACCAGTGATTTGTATGAAATTGTATCCACCCAAGCCTTGACTGCTCAACCCCATTTCTTTATGTTTTCTTTCTGGAGCAGAATGCTGTAAAGGTCTACTTTATATGTAGTGATGCCTGTAACTATTCCTCTCAAGTAAAAGAGAGCTCTAGGAATTTGAAAACAATAGACACGATTAAGTGGATCAGCAAGCTATTGTCAGTGCTAGCCTGGATAGTCATGACATACCTCCAGGGTTGAGGTTTGTGAGTGCTTATGGGGACCACAGTGTCATATTATTTTACAGACAAGCTAGTTCAAGTGTACCTGCTTACTAGGCACTCCCCGCGGAATGTAAACCCATGTGTTCAGGGCAAGTAATGTGCAACTCAGAATATAAGAGACTAGAATTTATTATAAATTGTTTGAGGTTAATTCTCTTCGAACGAGTAGGTGGTTGTAAACAGACGGCTTTTCTCAACTTCTTGTGGTTCGACCCCAGTAAAAAGCAATCACCCCTATGTCACTGGGTCAGCGATCACTAGGAGTATCAGCCCTTCCTTAGGAATAAGAGGGAAAGAGTTTTTATTGTCCTCCGCTTCCCTTTTCTCCGATTTCCCCCTCCCCGCCCCCGCCCCAGAAACAGCTGTTACTCAAGCTATGGCATTATGGGTCGTGGCCATTCTCGTCCCCAGAGCCCGTCGTTGCTTGGTCACGTGGTTGGAAACTGGTCGGTTACAAATTAAGCCGAGTGACTCTGGGGACGAGAATGGGTCGTGGCTGACTGAAGTTGCACTGTATTTTCCCATGGACAAGACAAGACGATTACCTTAAAATTCTGAAAATAAGCCCCTCCATGTATATTAACAAGAAAAAATAAGCCCCCCAAGCCGGTAACGCAAAAAAACCTTCGTTAAATCGCCCCTCCAAATATAAACCCCCCGGGGCCTTGTACTTGGAAAATTGCGCTCAAATACAAAGTTAAACAAAGCAAAAACGGTAAATTTACTTCCAACTATAAGGCTGGTCCAATCGATTTTTGAAACGCAAATTTCCATACTGCATACGATCCCCGCGCGTTGAGCGCGACATTCCGCGCGACAAAATTATGAATTCGCTTTCGCGAGGTGCTTCGCGCCTCACTTCGCTCGGCATAATTGTATTGTATTTACTAGAATATCAACACTCAAAATTATATCCTTTCCAGCCTCGGGTTTATTCACAGTCCATATTCTTAATTTTTTTCGTCTACCGTTTGCTACACTATACATGAGGTACTTAATGAATCGGTGAAAACGCTGACCAAGGTCTACACACGCAGGCGCTTATTCTTTCCCTCAGCTTTGATTTTTCCAGCGATTTTTCCAGGAAACAGCTCTGATCAATGTATCCAACACATTGTGTAAGCAGGTGAATTATATCGCTGTCATAATTAGCGTTATGACAAATTAGCGCGTTGCATAATTACTCATTATTAAGCTTGTTAAGCTAACAGAAAAAAATGGGTAGGTTTGTACCCTAGGCCGGTTTGTACAGTATGGACAGCTAGTCTAACTTCGCTATTTTTAAAATGTAGCTTTTGGATTGACCTTCAAATGTTGGCTTGTTTTTGATATCCTTCTTAGTGAAGCATGGTAAAAACTGGCGTCTAGCGATTTTCATTATTAGAGACAGTTAATACCTTCCTTAGTCTTGAGAAGATTAATCTTATGGAGCTGTAAGTTGACTATGTTACAAGAATCAGGGTTAGAAGACAAAGGAAATCGAGAATCAACCTAGGTTAAAAAAATTTAACCTGGATATAATTTTGACCTTTAATAACCACACAGAACACACCAGTACTGTCAGTTTGTCAGTTAAGAGCGGGTTAGATGTATGGACTCTCAAGAAACATGGCAACTTCTCAGTCTCCAGTTATTCTGCTCGATTGTGAAAATTAATAGCTTTGCAGTTCAAGAGGTAGCTGCCATCATTATACATAAGCTGGGAAAGGCAGTTTAGCCTTGGGCCAATGTGCAAATTGTAATGACAAGTGGACACACAAGTTTTTTTATAAGAAAAAAACATTGTGCATGGCAACTTGCTTTTGCCCTTGGGGAACTAGGAAAAGACACCTCACCAAAAGTCAGAACTTGCTGGCTAATCCAGTCATCTTGAAAATGAAAATTAATAGGTTTTCATCCAGATTTCTTTCAAAAAACTCATTACTTTCATCTATATACTAGTTTTTTTAGGGAAAGACTGATTTGTTTGGACAGCTCTGAATAAAGGTTAAAAGTGCCTAGTAAGTTCTTGATAATGGTAACGCCCTTACTTTTTGTTCAAAATTCATATATATACTGTCTAGATTCAGAGCTTAGGGCTCCCTGTAAAACCTTCACAAATAAGTCTTCTCTAGTAGCCAGTGAGTCAAGAACTGTCAGCTTCAGCTTCCTGAATGCCTGTTGAAGGCATCAGGTGTAACTTCCCATCCAGATGTTCATTTGGCTTGTCACGCAATCCTCCCCAACAAATATCTGCTGAAACAAACATTTAAAAATGTAGACCAATCACAGTACACTTCCAGATCAGGGTAGTGCACTTTCAACCTTGAGGAATTTTGCGAGAGACTCAGAACGGTCAGAAAGGTCTCATAAAAAGGTTTGGAAGACCGGCTGCTTACACCTTTAGAACAAACTTCTCAGTTATTCATAAGCTTTTGTGCTAGAGGCTACCCTCACAATCTCATTGAAACAATTACCTTGGAGTTGGCTTCACTACGAAACAATAGAGTGCAAAAAACAATTCTGCTTTTTGTTTAGTTACACCATACCATCTTGCCATTGCCTCACCAAAAGAACTCCTTTATGACCAGGAATGGGGCAGGAATGCATGATGAACCCCTGAGATTGTCTGCGCGGGAGGTTACTTCAAATGCTCTTCAAATAATTCACTCTGCCCCATGGGAGGCTCTCATGGTTATGTGAGTTCCAGTCCAGCAGATCATTTTTCAGACTGGTCCAAGGGAAAGTGGGTTTGAGGATAAAATTTATCATCAGGGGTCTGACTGCAGTGTAGTTTATATTATTTATATAATTTATAGCATTAGTTATACTGGTTAAAATGGTAACATCTAATCTGATTGGTCTGGTCAACAATAGAGCATAGCAGTGTGTTAACAGAGACTCACTTATATAAGGGACAGTCCAGATCTGTCCCTTATAAAAGTGGTTGAATACTCTATGTTTGCAGATACAAAAATTTTTTTGACCTCTTTCATCAACCATTAGGAGAAATCATGGGTCTAACCAGTATACCTGCCAACTCTCACGCCTCCGAGTTGAAAACTTCGATCTCACACCGGCTCACGCTTGCGGGCCAATTTCTCACACCTGATTGAAAAATGTGAGTTGTTGCTGTCTTGCTTGACACAATTTCCAAAAATATGTTAACTCAGACCCATGTAAGGAACGAAAACCACATGTAAAATGAATAAATGACAATACCTTCCTTGCGATCTCTGATTTTTGAAGTAAAAAGCAAGTGAAAACTTCGCCTTCGGCAGACTTCGGACGTCTTCGGAAGACTTCGGACTTCTTCGGGAATCTTCGGAAATGATCATGTCGTCTTCAAAAATCCCAGCACTCCCAGGATAAAAATCTCATGCTTATATCTCAGAAAAAGTTGGCAGGTATAAACCAGTGTTAGCTTATACTCTGGGAAAGTTACTGCTCAGTTTGGTCCTTAGAAAAAGCAAATCATTGCTTTGTTAATAGTCCTTTCTAACCCTGTAAGATGTCTTCCCAATTTCCCTCAGTTGTCTTTAAAACTGTCTCGTTGTTTTCCTCTTTTGACTACCCCTTAATTTGACTTTTCCTTTTTTGTTTGTGCTTTTTTAACATCTGCCAATTCACCGATCTCCAGACCGAGTCTCATCCTTGCAAGTTTAAATGTTCATGATACATTCCTTTCATCTGTTGACTCTTAATTATTGTATTTAATTATGCCCCAGAATAGAACTGTTAGGTTTTCAAATTAACTAACTTATGAAATATTTTTTCAAACTCTTTTATTTTGTTATTGATCATTGATAATTTGTTGGTCTTTTAGGTCAACATCTGTTGCTTGTCAAAAGCTCAGAATCTTATGTCGACATCTGGTAAATGTTATGCTAACGATAATAAAAATTATACTAAATCT